ACTCTGTAAATTGTTTGGGCTAGAATGGCCATTTTGATAATGTTAATTCTTCTGATCCAAGAGCAAGGAATGTCTTTGTATTTCTTTGTGTCTTCTTCTCTATTTCTTTTATAATTTTCCTTGTATAGTTCTTTCACCTCCTTTGGTAGGTTTATTCCCAGTTATTTATTTATTTTGGGTACATTTGTAAATGGGATGTTTTCTTAATTTCTTCTTCATGCTGACTGTTAGCATATAGGAAGACTGACTTTTGTGTATTGATTTTGTTACCTGCTACTTTACTGAACTGATTTATTGTTTTAGGTTTTGTGTGTGTTTTTTAGGGTCCTCTCTCTATATTACCATATAATCTACAAATAATGATCATTTACCTCTGCTTTCCCTATTTGGATTTCCTTTTGTGTTTTTTTCTCTCATGCCTAATTGCTCTAGCTAGGACTTGCATTATTATATCGAAAAGCAGTGATGAGTGGACATCCTTTTTTTCCCCATATCTTACAGGAAAGGCTTTGTTTTTCACCAAAGCCTATTAGCTGTGGTTTTGTCATATATGGCTTTTATTATATAAAGATATGTTCCTTTTATCCCAATTTTTTCAAGTACTTTCATTATAAATGGATGTTGAATTTTATTAAATGCTTTCCTGGCATCTATTGATAATGATCATATCATTATTTTCCTTTTTGTTGATGTGGTGAATTATGTTAATTGATTTTCAGATATTGAACCATCCTTGTATCCCTGGGATTAAATCCCACTTGGTCATGATGTATAATCCTTTTGATAAATTGTTGGATATGGTATGCCAAGATTTTATTGAGGATTTTTGCATCTATGTTCATTAGGGAGATTGGTCTTTAGTTTTCTTTTTTGTGTGTGTGTGTGTTGTCTTTGTTTGGTATTAGTGTGATATTGGCCTTGTAAAATGCATTTGATATATTCCTTTCTTGATTTTTTTTTTTTTTTTTGAAAGAGGACCGGCATCACCTCATCTTTGAATGTTTGTTAGAACTCACTTGTGAAACCATCTAGTTCTGGGCTTTTGTTTTTTTGGGAGTGTTTTAATTACTGTTTCAATTCCTTGCTTGTGATTGGTTTGTTCAAGTTTTCTGTATCTTCTTTGTTCAGCTTTGAATGATCGGATATGTCTAAAAATTTGTCCATAAAACCTAGATTGTTGAACTTGTTTACATATGATTGTTCATAGTAATCTCTGATTATACTCTGGATTTTTGCTGTGTCTGTTGTAATTTCTCCTTTCTCTTGTGATTCTATTTGCATTTTCTCCCCCCTTTGCTTTGTGAGCCTGGCTAGAGATTTGTCTATTTTATTTTTCCAAAGAACCATCTTTTGGTTTCACTGATCTTTTGGATTGTAGTCATTTTTCTATTTCATTGATTTCTGCTTTAAACTTTATTTCCTTTCTTTTACTGTCTTTTGGGTTATTTTGTTCTTATTATATTTCCTCAAGATGGGAGATTAAGTTGTTTCTTCGTGTTCTTTGTTTCTTGATGTGGGTCTCTTAATACTGCTTTTGCCTTGTCCCATATATTCTGGAACGTTATGTTCTCATTATCACTTGTCTCAAGGAATATTTTTATTTACTTGATTTCCTCACTGATTCAGTGGTCTTTAAGTACCATGTTGTTCAGTCTCCTGGTAATGGAGGAGCTCCTTGCTTTCATTGTGTAGTTGATTTCTAGTTTGTTACCCTTAAGGTCAGGGAAGATACTTGGTATGATTTCAGTGTATTTGTTGATGTTTACCTTGTGATCCAGTATGTGGTTGATCCTGGAGAATGAACTGTGTGCACTTGAGAAAAATGTATTCAGTTTTTTGGGGTGCAGTGACCTATAGATGTCTGTTAGATCCATGTGGTCTAGAACTTTGTTTGGTGTTATTGTCTTTTTAAAAATTTTCTGCCTTGTTGATCTGTATTTTAGTACTCCCTCATTTGGTGAGTAACTCTGAACTGCAGCGACCCTGGGTACATCCACTTACTCTTACCTGAGTCTTGTACACCTCCATTGGTGGGAGTATCTTTTATGTCATCTGTGGGAACATAGGCGAGCTGGGGCAGGAAGGGCTCATGATACAGAAGACAAACCATTTTCCTCAGAGTTCAGTCAAGTGTCTGTCCAGCTACCTTTGTGAAACAGGGTCTGAGGACAGACTCTGAGGTCTCTGTCACCTCTAGGTATCTGTCCCTCAGCTGCCTGGCCTGGCCATTCCCCAGACGTGACATGTGGGGTGCTGATCCCTCTTGCTGCCTGGGAGTTGGGAGAACCATGCAGCCTAATCATGGCAGAGGAGGGGCTTGGGTAGTGATGTGCTTGGCAATTTACTTACATAGTAAATATGGGGGGGGGTTGAGGGAGATTACTGGAGATTAAAGCTGCCCCCCTCTCCTGCTCCTGAGCTCACCTTAGACCCTGCACTGAGCAGGGTCTGTGTGGTGGGAGGAGTGTACTGTGTGTGGGAGGAGCTCTCAGCCCCAGCTCGGTCCTGAACAGTTGCACAAGGTGGCTTCTCTGGCCCTCAGTAGTCAGGGGAGAATTATGACTGCCCTCCCATCCCTTGCCATCTTCTCCCCCACCATGGCATCTTCTCTCCTTACTGCACATGGCATCCTTCCTGTGTGTGCCTGTGTATGTGCCATAGAGAGTACACTACGGCATAAACAGTAAATGGTAAGTCTTGAGTGCCCCAGGGCTCATGCCTGCACTGTAACCAGCCAGCACAAATTGCTCTTAGCATCACACAAAGTTAGAACCTTTCTAGTCCCTATCTTGAGCTTTTGGAGGAAAGTGAGGCGAACCTTAGTTTGAGGTTGAAACCTGGTGAATAGGTTTGTCCAGAGTCAAAGCCGATGCCATGAATAGAGCAGGATTTGGTCTTTGTTTCCTGCCTCTGGCATATCTGCTGCACCTTGCTTGCCCTGCCCTTGCAGCAGAAGATCCTTCAGCAGCAGCCGAGGGGCTCCTCAGATGCTAGGTGGCACCAGAACACCTTTAAACAAAAGGCTCTGGGCTCAGCTGCCATCTGCACATGCCTGAAGCTGTATCCTTACTGCTCTGAATTCTTGCTGCATGATTCAGGCTGGGAAAGTCTTTTCTTCCTGTACTGGAAAAGCCTGCCTGCCCAGGGCACAGCCCGGCTCACCTTTCCTGGGCTCCTGCCTGGGGTCTGTGCTCTGGTTACCTGGGAGAATTTGCCCCTGTGTGACTGATTTCTCCTGGGGCCTCTCTGCAGAATGGGAAGCTCTGGCAGGATGGTCAGCTCCAGGTGTGTATGTGTGGTGGGGATATTTTAGGGCAGGCAGGAATTCTGGTTCCCTTAGGTGCTAGATGCTTCATTACTTCCTGAGACAGTCTGGGTGAACAATCCTTCAGAACATGATGTGTGTGGTCTTGCCCCAGGGCATGTTGCCAGTCTCGGTCAGAGCTGGGATGCAGTTCATTGCTGGCAAGCACTGCATTCCTGCCTTGCAGGACAATGCCAAGCTCCTGTCATCTGGCCCTTCATCCCTCCAAACCCCTCTTGCAGCAATGTGACCAAGACTGTGGGCTCTGGTTTCATGCTTGCCCATTTCTTCATTGTGTGACTCTGCCACATTTGTCACTCCCTTCTGCCTCAGTTTCTCCCTTTGTAAACAGTACATAGTAGATTTCAAATGACTTCAAATTTCTATGTAGCTCCCCCCATTAAAAGTGGAGTGAATTTTTCCCACCCCTTGACATTGGGCTGGCCTTGTGCCTAGCTGTCATAGATGGGGTGATGTTGATGATGCGTGACTTCTGAGCCATGGTCTCAAGAGGCTTTGCAGCTTCTGTTCTCACCCCCAAAACATTGCTACCATGTCGCACAGTGGGGTTGACATCCATGAGGATGTGTCACCAGACCCCAGTAGTCTTGGCCCAAATTGCCCACTCAGCACTGTGAGCACATGAATAACTGTGTTCGTCCTCTAAACTTTTGAAGTGGCTGGTTACGTTACACAAGCTGAATTCTGGGAGAATAATCGTATTTCTACATAGGGTCGCTGTGAGGTCTACATGATGGCGAGGCTTCAGCCTGGGCCTGGTGTGCTGTAAGCTGACACAGATGTTACTGCATTGTTATGAGCACTTCCTCTTGCTTACTGAGTTCTAGTCAACCATTTTTTGTTCTTTTGTTCTTTTTTTTTTTAATATATAAAATTTTCTTTTTTAGGGCTCTCTCTATTCTCTCCATCTAGAATGGTATCATGCTTTCATGCTTCAGTTCACAGGGGCTCAATGATGATCTCAAGAACCCAGAATTGTTTCAGTATTCCTTTCTGCTGTTCACACATATTAGTCTTGCCTCTAAGCTTGGACTGTTGAAGTGACTGCTCTAGGCATAGCACAGACACAACAAATGTTCGTCTAGAATGGTGTCATGCTTTCATCGTGCAGTTCACAGCTGAAACCTCTCTTCTGTGACACCCTGGGACTCATACCCTCTCTCCTCCGTTCTGGCTTCCTTTGTGTGTAGTTTGTTTCACGTTGGTTTCCTTGAATATTGTCTGTGTCCCCCTTCTAGATGATAAACCCCTAGAGGACGGGAGCTGGGTCTGTTTTCCTTCTTAGTTTATCCCAGCCATCTGACACAGTGCTGTAGAGAGTAGGTGCTCACTATTCATTTGCCCAGTGAATGAAAAGAGGCATTTTAAGGCATTCTGGGGTTTGAGGTTAGAGTCAGACTTGAGGAGGAGGGGAGTTGCCAGGTCTGAGTTTCAGGAAAACTGAGAGTGGGTGTGCTGCTTCTAATTCTCAGAGCCACTTACGCTAGATCAAATATGGCTCTGATAGTCTATGTCCAGCAAGGCTATGAGTGCCTTGAAGACAGGGGTTGAGTTCCTGACAGTCCCTAACACACTACTAATCATTTAATAGGGACTTATTTGCATATAGAAAGATGAATGAATGACTACAAAGAATAGATGGATGGATGAGAATGTACTCAGAACTGCAGGCAACTATGACAAAACCATGTTTATTTTTTTTTTCTTCTAATAAAAGATGACATGTCCAGTCACTCAGTAAAATTCATAAAAGTATAAAAGTGTACTGAATACAATCACTAACATTGTTGTAGGGGAAGGAGACAGTTGTTATATCCTTTCCCTCTAAGGTGGCACACTGGGCTGTCACAGTTGGTATAGAAAGAGGGACATGAGTAGGTGACCAGTTGTCCCAACTGGCCCAGGACTGAGGAGTTGCCCAGGCTGAGGAACTTTCAGTGCTAAACCTGGGAAAGTCCCAGGCAAACTGGAAAGATGAGTCGTGCAGGCAAGAGAGCAGCCCCACAGTGCTGGGTGTGGTTTGGGATTTAGGTACAGTAGTCAGACATTTCCTCAACTTCCCCACCACATTTCCCCCCTCAGCTCTGTGGTATAATTGATAGTGCTACTTTCACATGTCCCTATCTTTATGCCAAGCTTGGGAGGTGTGGTATCTTGCTCCAAGGGCTCTGGCCCCTAGCGAGTATGGGGCAGAGCAAATCCAGACCTCCCAAGGCTATGGTGCTTCCCACTACTGTGTTCTTTTCTGAACCACCCTACCAGTCTCATCTGGCTTTCAGGAGTGGGCAGGCATTGCATGGAGAAAGGGGTATCCCTGAGATCTGAATTTTGGCTCCATCCAGTCATTTGGGACAATTCATATTCTTACTGCTTTGCTGCTCTTCTCTTGCAGCTCTACTGTAGGAGTCCCTGAATGACCTCTGCCTGGCTAGTGCTGGCATCATTCAGCGGCAGGGTCACTGGAAATGATTCAGTGTACTGGTTCCACGATAATGCCCCAAATGTCCCCTCCAGATCAGCAGCCAGTTGCCAACTTGACAATTGAGATCTTTTTGGGAATCTTTGCTAAGTAGTAATTCTAGTGATAAGTCAACTAAGCCTTAAAGCCTTGTCACATCCAACCCCTAACATATAGGGACTTGACTGTAAGGAAGGATGGCTCAGTAACCCTCTTTGACTTACCATAAAAAGACCAGGGATGCGTCATCCTGGCCATAGTAGACCTAGTTTCTCTTGGCAAACAATTCTATCATCTATTCTTTTATTACAAGGCTGTTTTGAGCTCTTCTAGTTCTTTACTTATGACCTCTTGGCAGGAGTTAGCTACACTGTTCTCCTTTTCCTGGTGAAGTGGGGTTTACTGTGACTCTACCTAATTAAACTGAAGTATGTGCTAGTGTTGTGCACAGGGTGATACTCTGGGATAAGCCCAATAAACACAGTGTTAACATTGGCCCTACCCTTTGAGATGTTCTTGTTTGAGCTGAGAGTTGCTCTATCCTATAGGTCTATTCTTAGCTCATGTGCTAAGATCTCCTGACCTTAGTTTTCCTGTTCTAAGAACTGAACGAGGACAGGCACTTTGATTTTAAAAATAAATAAATAGCTAGAGAAAGTGCTGCCCATGTCCTCTCAGTACCTTCCCCAGACTACAGTCAATTAGCTGAAGCAGAGGGTTTCTGGTCTACCAATTCCCTTTAGCATGCTCTGTTCTCTGCGCTTCTGTGGCACTGAGTTCAAATTTAGTTTGAAATCTTCAGAGTGATTCTTCTTTGACTTAGAGACAACAGGCAGATTGAGCTCTGTCATAGAGTTCAGATGGAGCACTAAGGTGTGGGGGTTCTTTAAATCTTGGCCCTGAGGGGTAAGGCAGTGGCCTGAATAACCCAGAACTTTCCACATCCCAAGATATTGCCCGGATCAATTCATTTCTTGGAATCTTAGAAACTTAAGGCTTAGTTGCCTTGGGTCCTAGGCTGTTGTCATCTAGAAAGTCAGAAGGAGGTCTCGGGGCTGAAAACTTCAAAAAGAGCTTCCTTCTAAACTGCTGTTTGCAAGATGTGTTTCCTGGGAGCCAGTGAAAACACATGTTGATGGATTTCCAGTTCCCATTTGTCTCAACCCCTTGGGGCTAGGGCTCCTCTGAGGAAGTCAAGTCTCCTCCATGAGAAGAAGAATCATGAGTCATTGAGGCCAGGGACTGGGTGGCTCCCTCTGAGTCTGTAAGAAGTCTGCCGCCCCTCATATGGTCAGTGAACTCTGGGATCGGCGGTGGCTGCCTCTGCTCGAGGGCCGGCTCTTGTTGGCTTGTCCGTGTGAGTAGGCTCCAGAAGCCATATCACTAGGCCCCAGAAGGTGTTCCCCAGCGGAGGGTTTAGCTGAGGAGTCCCCTGAGCACGGGGAATCCCTCACATGGTCTCTGCTGCTTTTCTCTCCACATAGTGCCCCCTCTTCCTTACATTTCCACCTGGGAGGGCTAGAGCTCTTTGGGGTGCTGGCCTGGAAGTCCAGTCCTGGGTCAGGTGGCACTTGCCGGTGGGTAGGCTGAGCCTCTTCAGGGATGGGGCCAGGTTTCTGTCTGCTCTTCCAGTTCTGGATTTCCAGGTTTCTCTTATCCGAGGGGAGTTTGTCAATTTTCTGAGCTTTTGAGATTAGAGACTTCCCATATGTCCCTTGTAGAGACAGGAAAAAGTACCTGGTGGGAAACAGAAGAAAGTCATTTCCTGAATTCTGCTCCTTCTTGAATTTCAGCATTGAAAGGGGGCTTAGAATCCAACTCCCCAACCAGGTTTAGTGGGGAACTTCTTAGCTGAACTCCTGACTAGTAGCCAGCACATCTGAGACTCAGGAACCCTGGAGCAGAGGGAATATTGTGAGTGCTTTGCATATTGTCAACTGACCTTGTTTTTCCAACAATCCTGTGTGGTTGCTACTTAGGGTTCCCCTTGGGAAGATGAGGAAGAGACCCAAGTTCCTTAGAGGGTGGATCATGAGTTAATTGATAGACGTTGCCCAGTTTTCTGAGACTTAATATGCCTAGTGGATGCCTAGTGGAGACTTAATATGCCTAGTTGCTAGAAGGATGTTTCTGGGATTCAGGAGAGAGATTTGGAATGGGAATTCATAGTGGGGATTCATCTTGTCAAGATATATTTCATTTTTACAGTAGTGGTTGCCATATCTATGGAGAGAATATAAAGTTAGGAGACAAGAAATTTGATTGTCCACCACATCAAGGACATGAACCAGCAAAGGAGACAAAGAAGTAGGAGAGAAAAAAAAATCAAGACTGTTGGCAAAAGGCAGAGATCTCATACAAAACAAAACAAAGTTTTGGGTCACTGAGGCTGAGGGAACAGGGTGGAAGCACTGGTGTCCTCTACTGGTGCTAATGAAATGCAGCACTGTATGCTGTCTCTAAAGTGACTGTGTTCATTTCTTTTGTCTTCTCTGTAAAATATATTTCTAGTTGGGGAGAATCTGAAAATTTTTTAAACTGGTTGAATTAATTAGATCAAAACAAGTGGGGTCCCTGTCAGTGGGCTAATTATCAAAAAGCTGGGTGAGTGAGACCAATCTCCATTATGATAGACAGTTTAAACTTTAAGTAAATAAATAGTTCTCTACAGCAAACAACTTATGTAGATTTCAACAAAACTGTGCCAAGATAGCATGTCAGCCGTCCTTAGAACTATTAATATAATCCTATCACTATCAGAAGAAATCTCTTGGCCTTTCTTCGTAAACAGAAACTCAAGTCAAATCTTCACTTAGTCTGTTATTAAGTTCTGTGGTCACCATGGTAACTGGCAAGGAAATATTTGCTGACTTTCCCTTAATTGACCTCTCATCTGTTCAACAAGCGGTAATGTTGAGTGCTTATCTGTTCAAAGCATGTGTCAACAGTCTTCTCATACTTTTCAACTATCCTCATTGAGCTGGTTGACTTTGGCTCTGAGTTTCCCAACCAAGGGCGAGACAAAGAATATGGGGTTGATCACTTCTTCTTCCCACACCCCAAATAAGATACAGAACAGAGGCGCACTGTCTTTGGTGTGCCTCGGTGGTGATCACAACAGCATTAAACTCCCGAAGTGTGGTCAAAATGAATTAACCTGCATAATTTGATGCCCCTTTCCAATGATGGCACAATCCCCAGGGTCTCTCTCCCTGGGGATTGGACTGAGAAGGGGTGGGGTGAGAATACCCCCTAATGCTTGCTCTCAATGGCTTCCCCAGGATACTTCAAGGGTTTCGGTCTTGGATCCATCTGTCTAACTGTGTACTGGACTGTAGGCATCTTAAGAGTATGAGTCCCATTTTACTCATCTTCCTTTTGCTTTAACATCCATTTCTCTCTGAGTGTAGCCTACAGGACAGGAACTGTGCTGGGCACTCATTATATGGTGATAAAGAAGCTATCTTGTTTCCAGGAATCTGTCATGTAATTTATAATAAATCAAATCATTAAATGGTAGATACACCCAAAAAATGGAAATCAAAAGGGGGCACCTGTTTCAGCCTGAGAAAGGTAGGTAAAGTCATGGAAGGCTTGTAGCATAGTTCATATCTGAACTATGCACCACATAGGGCATCTGAATAAACAAAAGCAGGGAGACAAGAGGGCATGGGCCCTTGGGGAAGCACCAGAAACTTGGTGGAGTCGAGCCCAAACTTTAAAGCGGGTTATGGGGGAGATGAGCCTATAGACATGAACAGGGGCAAGCAGGGAGGCCATGCACACAGTGCCTACATAGTAACTACATGTGACTCAACAACATAGTATTTGCCATCTTGGATTTTCAGCATCCAATTCTGCAACACAGGTCTAAGTTCTGCACCAAAATAGATCAAGCAAGTTGCCCAACTAATTAAAGGAAGCAATGCCCCCTGAGAGCTCTTGGTCTAATTTTGGATGTGAAAAAGTTCTGCACAGTGGTTCCAGGGCCTGGAGACTGCAGCTTCCAGTGGCTCAACTTCAGCGTTCAGGGTGGCGAGACCCTGAGGATGCAGCAGGGGCTAAGTCTTGTCTGAGGTGCATGACTGTGAAATTGATCTACAGCTCTGACTATAGAGCATGGGTTGGAGAAGGAAACAGTGGCTCCTGCTGTGATTGATAGTGGGCTTGTGGATGCATGCTGGAGGCCCGGGAGCAGGTGGGACACTAGCACAGCTCTGCCTGACTTCTCAGTGATCAAAAGAAAAATGAGGGGTTATCACAGGTTGTGTATTTAGTGAGCTCTATGGAAATGGAGGCATTGTGGTAGTTGTTACTATTTCTCTGGAAAAGGAAACTGCAGAAGATTTATAGTCTCGGGCACAGAGAATTTATTTGGCCAATACAAGTTTTGTGGATGTGTTTACAAATTTGAGTAGTAACAGGAAGTTGGTTATTTTCCAAGTTATGGAAACAATCTAGAACGAGTAGATTAAGAAGATGTGGTATTTATACAGTGGAATACTATGCAGCTATACAAGGGTGAAATCTTGCCATTTGTGGAACTTGAACAGAACTGGAGGGGATTGTGTGAAATAAATCATAGGAGGAGAAGCAAATATGGTATGCTTTCACTTATGTGGACTATAGAGAAATAAAGGAACAGACAGAATTAACCCTAGAAATCTGATTGTAGAATTGAGGCAACCAAGGGTCGATGGTGGGGGAGGATTATTGGGGCTTTGATGCTGAGTGGCATCCTATCTGAGGAGGTGTGAACTTGTACCTTTAAGACCGTATGCTGTTGTAAACCAGCATTCCCTCAACAAAATACTTAAGAGAATAAAAAGTTGGCTATGTCATGCAAACCTGTATTTCTGGGAAATACAAGTGTGCTGGACTTGCTTTTTCCCTGTGGTACAGCGAGGGTGAAGTGGAGACCTTTCTCCCATTTCTGCTTCACCTGAGCTGCTTGCCTGCTCACCTGCAGTCACTTGCCTGTCCTGGAAGGCGTCTGAGTGCAATACTTCTGGGCTAACAAAGGACTTTTTCAAAATGGTTCCTTGTATTCGAAACAAACATGTAAGGCAGGGTGTGGGGATTATTACTCTCATGTTACAGGTGTCATATCCATGCCAGACTGAGTGACTGCTGCTCTCCCTGACCTGGGGCCAGAATCCATGCTGTTCTGTCCTAGCTCAGGGTTCCTTCTGCCCTTGCATCTTATTTTTGAAATGACTGCCTCTGGGATGGAGCAGAGGTCACATTGCCACTTAGGGAATGGCTAATGGTGGGGAGATGAACAGCTCTAGGGAAACATTCCCCCGTGCAAACCTTGGAAGCAGGGCTGCCACTGGTGTGAGGAAGCAGACGAGGTAGAATGTGGGGTCCGAGAGCTGGCCTTCCATCACCCAGTAGGGGTTGGTGGGACTGTTGCAGACGACGCAGGTGGCGTGGTACAGGAGGGACACCACAAAGTACATCAGGAAGCTGCCCACGAGAACGATGCCATGAATAATGGTCTGGGGAAGGAAAGAAGGGAACTTGGTTAGGGGGGCATAGCGGTTTAGCCCAGTCATGCTACTTGTGGCTTTCAGTGTTTGGCAAATGCTACATATAGAAACACTGTTCAAAAAAGCGAGCAGCTGGGTGGATGGTGAAAAAGCCAACATCCATGTTGCTGTGAGCCAAAGTTTGAACACACACTACCCTCATACCCCTAAGTCGTTGTCCACCTGTGGCTTGGTGATAATTTCCATGCTACCCTTTTAGTACCATCGCCTATGATTCCCTGTGGAGCCTGTTTTTTTTTATATGTATATTTACTACATCATCCTTCATTTTTGTACAATGTATGATTTCCCATGAAATTTCCAGAACCAGTTCGCCCATGCACCATCACCATAGTCCCTTGTGCTCTTCCCAGCCCTGTCCTGCTCCCTCTCTCTCTTCCTTCCCTACAGAATGTCTCTGGTCTATGGCTGCCTCTTGATTTTGAATTATAATTCATTGCAGTTACTTTTTTTCCTGATCCCTTATTTGGTTCCTCTACATTCCTCCTATAAGTGAAACCATCTGATATTTTTCTTTTTCTTTGTGGCTTATTTTGCTGAGCATAATCACTTCCAGCTCCATCCAAGTTGCTGCGAATGGCATGAGTTTATCTTTTTTGACTGCTGAGTAATATTCCATTGTGTATATATACCACATCTTCTTGATCCAGTCATCTATTTATTAGGCATTTGGGTTGTTATGGACCCTGTTTTAAAATCTAACAGAAAGAGAATCCTATTTGGTGGGATTTGCCTGTCTGCCCTCCATCTGTGAGATGGCTCCACGTCCCACGTGGCTGTAGTTGATCCCTTTGCAAAGCAGTGTCGCCGCCTCTGCTCTTCAGTCCTTGCTATGCTCTCTCCCTTCCCCGTTCTTAGCCTCTTTTCAACTTCCTATTTCCAGCAAATTCGTTTTCCTCCTATGCTAGTCTGAAAGTGACACACTCCATTTCTAGATTTCCAGTGGTTTCTTTCTTCTTCCCTGTGAATCCAGATAGAGGTTTGTCTACTTTTTTCAAAGAATCAGCTCTTGGTGTCCTAGATCTTCTGAAAGGTCTTTTGTTTATTATTTTGTTTCTGCTCTAATTTTTATTAGCTCTTTCCTGCTAGTGACTTTTTTTCTTTTTCTAGTTCCTTTAGGTACAAGTGTTGATTTTTTTGTTTCCTGAGGCAGCCTTTCTTGCTCTAAACAGCCCTCCCAGGACCTTCTGCTGTGTTTTGTAGGTTCTTCATTTGTCTCCAGATACTGTTTTGATTTTCTCATTGACTCAATACCTGTTCAACAGCATGCCTAGTCTCTTCCTCTGCTTGATTTCCATTTTCATACCATTGTGATCCCCCTAAAAATGTTTGATTTCAGCCTTCAGAAACTGAGATTCTTCCTGTCCCAACAAATGGTTACCCTTGAGAATGTCCCATGTGGCTTGAAGAGCATGTAGTCTGTTTTGGGTGGAATGCTCCATAAATATCCATGACATCCTTCTTGTCTAATTGGTCCTGTAAGGCCACTGTTGATTTCTGTCTGCATGGTGTGTGTACTTCTGTAAGTGGGGGGATAATGTCCTCTGCCTAGTTTTTCTAAATCATGGGAAAAAAAAAATGGTGTAAGGGGCAGATAAGCCCGATTTATGAGCTATCAAGCTCACCTTCTAATCCTCTAGGCCTGATGTCTTGGGGATAGGATTAGCTCCTTGGCTTCTCTAGTGGTGATTTTTTTTTTTGAGGGGGGCAATCTGCAGAATGAGCTTGATTATTTTTTGGTAAGCTATACATTTGAAGAAATATCAGCTTGATTTAAAATTTCAATCTTTTAATATTTAAAAAATTGATTCCACCTATAAGCATAGTCCTTTCACTCCTAGGAGCCTCTTGTGATCTTCTTGTGTCTGGGCTCAGTTTCCCCAGATATGAGCTCTCATTTGGGCTCAGGGCTCACCTATCACAATAGGAACCACGCTTTCCTGTTGTCTCCTTGATTTCCCCTCATTCTGTATCTTCTTCAGTTGATTTCTCAACTTACTCGAATTTGATTTTTTTTTTTAAATAACGAAGGCTTTAGCTATATCTCAAAAGTTTGCTCTGCCACATCCCACCATCTAGAAGTTTGTTATAGGATCCACTGTGATTTACTCTTGACCTTAAGTTATTTACAACTTTACATGTTAGGTTTTTGGGGACAATCTTTTAATGCTTATATAAGTATCATAACATGGAATTTCTGATACTGATTTAAATTTCTTTTGATTCAGAATTCCATCTTTTAATTTTCTGGTAAATGGTGTGTCTGTGTCTGAAAATCATGCATGCTTTGCCTTTGGCTTGGTGTGGGGTTTTTATATATTGATCAAATGTGATGATTGAAAACTTCTATAGCCTTTGTTATTTGATATATGTTTCTGATAAAATCATATAAAAATCTCATAGTGATTGTCCATTTCTTATATTTCTAGGTGAAAAAAATGTCCAAGCATAACTTCTGCTTCTTAATAGGTGAATTAAGTCCATTTAAATTTATAACAGTACTGATATATATATATATTTTTTTTTTTAAAGATTTATTTTTATTTATTTATACAAGCACTGGGTACAGTCAGAAGCGCGGGAGGGTGAGAGAATTCACCAGAGCCAGAGCGGGGAGCAGAGCAGGCAGAAGGACCGAAGTACACTGCTGAGGGGAGCAGCGGGTGGCAGGAGAGGTCTGCGCGCCATGTGGGACCCTCCTCCCGTGGCCGGGGAGCAGCCGGGGATCGAACCAGTGCTGCAGAGGCTGCAGGCAGCTTCGCAACCCAGCGCTCAACCGCTGCGCCACCGGGGAGGTCCAGTACTGATATATTTTGAGTACTGCTTTCTTTTCTTACCCTCTCATCTTCCTTACAGCCTGAGGATTGATAGGTTCCTATATTTTTCTTCCTTCCCTTTTCTTTGCATTCCAAAATAAAAAGATATGAAGTGTGAACTTACTTGGAAAAATTTATAGTTAAATATGCATTTCTGTCCCCTTATCTACAATGAAGGTTTCAGCATAAATTACCTGTTTCAAACCATTGTTATTTCTTACCAGTTTAGTTTTTACATTCTTTTTAAAAGATTATTTTTATTAATGCATACAAGAACTGGTGTGTAGGCCAGAGGTGTGGGGAGTGAGAGGGTTCACCAGAGAGAGTGAAGAACAGAACAGGCAGACTGACTGAAATACACTGCTGAGGGGAGCAGTGGGAGAGACAGGAGAGGTCTGCCGCGCCATGTGGGTAGCTTCCTGGCTGGCATGGAACTCATGCCACAGTGGCTAGTGATAGCTTGATAGGGCTGAGACTTTAACCCGTGTGCCACCAGGGATGCACAGCTTCTATGTTCTTGCAGAAGTATATGCCTTGTGAGGCTCTGGCTTGTTAGAGTTTAGCTGAGAATGTCTTTTCCTTTGCTCTAGCGCTCAGTGATAGTGTGGCTCCTTTTGTCACTCCCCTCAGCTTTTTGAAGAGAATCACTCCATTGGTTTCTGTTGCTGTTTTTTTTTTTTTTTTTAAGTCATTGCCCACATTTGTTCTTTAAGTCATTGCCCATAATTTCTGCTAGACTTTCAGAGGTCTCTATGGCTGTTATGCTGCAGTTTAACTATGATCTATTCGGGTGACACATCAGATTTATTTTGATGGTTTCTCACTGATTATCTCTTCAAATAGCGCTTCTGTCCCATCCTCTCCTCCTTCTGGGATTCCTGTGAAGTGGACGCTGGAATCACTTCTTCCAGCCACTGTTCTGGAAGAATAGTGTCCACCTAGAGTGGATCCCACAAATAATGCTTTTAACTTCAATGACCATTTTTCATTTTCAAGAGTTCTAAAGGATTCCTTAGCCTGCTTTTACTGGAAGTTACATCATTGACTCTTGCTTCCTTCCCTCACAGCTTCTGGAAAAACTAAGTCTGAATAGCTTTGGACATCTCTTTCCTTCAGCTTCCTTTCTTGAGTGCAGAACTCTAGCCCAGACCTTGTATCTGGCAGTCAAGGGGGGCCAGTATCCCTTTCCTGTCTGGAGTCGGAACCATCCCCCATCCTCTCTGCCATATGTGCTCCCAGAAAGCCTGAGCTGCCCAGGCCTTCTCCTCCCCACTGTGTTGCAGTTTATCCTGGTGCTGGGGGTCCAGGAAGAAATGGGTCCTGGACTCAACCTTGGCTGTGCCTTTAGGGTCTTATCACTTTGTTAGTCACTGGCAGAAGGGATTTCAAACAGGGAATGCTGTGTCCTGCACGTCCTCTGGGGTGGCTCTCGTCAGCCACTGCCCAGTGTGTCAGGGTCTGGTCTATTTTGGGACGTTCTGATGCAGGGGACTCATTGCGCTTACTTGGGGGCAGTTTTCTTAAATTTTTTATTAAAGATTTATTTATTTATGCACACAAGAGCTGGGGTGTAGGCCAGAGGTGCAGGAGGGTGAGAGGATTCACCGGAGACAGAGTGGGTAGCAGAACAGGTGGATCTACTGAAATACACTGCTGAGGGGAGCAGCGGGTGAGTCAGGAGAGGTCTGCTGTGCCATGTGGGTCACCTCCCTGGCCAGGGATTGAACTTGTGCTTTACAGTACTAAGACTCAACCCCCTGCATCACCAGGGAGGCCCTGGTTTGCTTAAATTTTAATGAGTACTATACTTCTAGAAAGAGCCAGTTCAGCTTGGTTAAGGATAAATCTTTCTGGCAATTGGTCTCCCCTACCGGTCAATCCTACACACTCAGACTGTTAGTACAGTGTCCAAAGTTATTTCTTTCTATGTTGAAAAATGTGGGGGGATGTTTCTTAACCTCATTGTCCCAATGTATATGTCTTTAAAAATGGCAATAAAAATCACCTAATGTGCAAACATTGCAACCACTAACAGAGTGATGTTGTTACTACTTTGCTACATACATGTAAGTCATTATCGTCGCTCTGCCATCCTCATCACTCCTCTCCTCACCATCTCTCTCCTTTCCACGTCTCTACTCCAATCTCACATCTCTCCATGCCTCTCTACTTTGCTTCCCTCAACTCTCCTAATCTCTTATCCAGATGTCTCCACATCAGTCCTGCCCACTCAACACTTCTCATATGCTCATCTCTCCGCTTCTCCCCTCTCCATAGCTATATAACCCCGCACCACATCGCATCTCTCACCTCTTGTCATCTCTCTTCTACTGACTACATATCTCTCCACATCTCTATACGCCCCCACTCTCCATCTGTCCATATCTACTTTCCACATTTCTCCAGTCTTCCCAACATCTCTCATATCCACATCTCTGTTAATCCTTCCTCTCCTCTCTCATCTCTTCTCTACACATGTCTTCACTTGGTACTCTCCAAATCTTTGTGTTTTTCCATTTCTACTACGCACAACTCTCCTCTCCACATGTATCTACTCAGTACACACTACATCTCATCTCGCCACATCTTTCTCTCTCATCACTCCTTATCAGTCATCTCCACTCCACATCTATCCTCTCACACATGATTCCACATCTTTCACTGCACACAACTCCTATCAATGTGTTTCTATATCTCTCATCTCCACAACTATCTTCTTATCTCTCCCTGCACATGTCTCTATTCGGTACTCCACACATCTTTCTACATCTCTATTCTCCACATATCTCATCTCCTCCCCTCTTCATCTTTTATCCTCTCCTCAATAGATTGCTCCTCATCAATCTTCTCCACTCCACACCTCTCCTCTCTCCACCTCGCTCCTTGCCATGTTTCTTTACATCTATCCTCTCTTCTCTCTATATAACCTGATGTCTGCTGCTCACATCTCATCTATTTCCCTTCATCTTTTCTCAGTCTCATCATTCCTCTATCTACATATCTCTTCCTCCCATCCTCTCCTCTCCACACTTTCCACATCTGTCAACACACCTCTCCCCACTCCTATCCTCATTTCTCCTTTTTTCTCTTCATATTTGAATATATAACTTCAACTATGATCTCGCTTATGCACAACTTTCCTCTCTTCCCCACATCTCTCCTCTATCCATATCTGTTTAGATGTTTTCTCATCTTGCCTTTCATCTAACCACGCCTCTCCATGTTTCTCTACATCTCCTTTCTCCACATTGCTTCAGTTCTTCCATCTCTATAACTCGCCTCTTCATAGCTCTACACATCCATCACTGAGTATCATCTCTCCTCGCCTACCACACCTGTCCATACCTCTCCTCATTTCTCCTCTCCGCTACTCTGCTATCCACATGCTTCCACATTTCCCCTCTTCTCTCTCCTGCATATCTTCTAATTATGCCTCTTCCCTCCATTCTGTTACAGCAGAGGCCAGCTGTGGAGATTATGTATCTCCTACCTCTTTATATTTCTCTACATCTTTCATCTCCATCTCATCTCTCCTCTCCACATGTCATATTTCCTGCAGATTCCACATCAGTCTACACCTTCCACATCTCAATATCTCTCCCTCCCCTTCAATCTCTTGTCTCTATTCTTCTCTCTTCTGTATCCCTCTTCATCTCTATTTTCAGCTCTCCTTGGACTCTCCTCTCTCTCTCATCTAGGTCTCTTCCCTACATCTCCTTTGCTCTCCTATCTCTTGAATCTCTCTCCTATGTCTTATTTGCTATTCCTCATCTTTTCTAAATCTCTGCTCTACATCCTTCCTCTAGCCCTCCTATCCTCCTACAGCTCTATGCTCAGTCTCTCTGCTCCATCTCTCTTCTTTCTATCTCTGTTCTCTCCTCTCCATCTCATGTAAGTACCTCTCCTCTCTTCTCTACACATCTTCACATGGTTCTCTCCACATCTTTCCATCTCTACTACCCACAAACCTCATCTCCACATCTCTTCTCTTCATCTCTGACCCAGCATCTCTCTACAACTCTTCGACTCACATTTCTCCACATATCTCTCTCTCCTATTGTCCCCATGTGTCTTTCAGCTCCAATGCACACCTCTTCTCTCTATATCTCTTGTCTGCACATGTATCCATTTGGTATTCTACACATCTTTCTATGTCTCTATTCTCCACATCGCCTTCCCTCTTCATCTTATCCTATCCTCAGTACATTGCTCCTTATCTTCTCCATTCCACATCTGTATATCATATCACTCCTTGCCATGTTTCTGCACATCTGTCCTCTCTTCTCTATATCTAACCTGGTACCTCCTGCTCACATCTCATCTATTTCCCCACCTCTTTCCCTCCCTTCCTCTCCACATCGCTCTTCTCATGGTGCCTCTCCTCTCCATGCTTTCCATATCTGTCACCTGCTCCTCTCCCCACTCTATCCTCATTTCGCTTCTCCTTTTCTCTTCATATTCAGAATATGTAACCTCAACTGTGGTCTCTCCTCCACACAACTTTCCTCTCCTCATCTTGCCTTTCTGTCTCACCCGTCCTCTCCATGTTTTTCTACCTGTCCTCTCTCCACACTGTTCCATCTCCACATCTCTGCACATCTATCATTGAGTATCATCGCTCCTCGCCTACCACATCTGTCCGTTCCTCTCCTCATCTCTGCTATCCACGTGCTTCCACATCTCTCCTCATCTCTTTATTTCTGTTCATTTCTTCTACATATTTCTCTAAATTTACCCTCTTCTCTTCCTCCATTCTGTTACAGGCAGAGGCCAGTTGTGGAGATTATATATTTCCTACCTCTCTATATTTCTCCACGTCAATCACTCTACTTCTTTCATGTATCCCCTTATGTCTTCTTGTAGCTCCATCTCATCTCTCCTCTCCACATCAGTCTACCCTTCCACCTCTCTATATCTCTCCTCTCTGCTACATTTCTCCTCTGTTCTCCTTTACATCTCTCATCCCCTCTATATCTCTCTTTCCTCTCTGTCTTCTCTATACCTCTTTATAGCTCCCCATTATATCAATCCTTTCCTCTTCATCTGTATGTTCAGCTCTCCTCGATGAATATCCTATCTCTCTCCTCTCCTTGCATCTAAGTCTCTTCCCTCCTACAGCTCTCTTCTCCTCTCTCCACATCACTGCATCTCTCTTTTTTGTAACTGTTTTCTACACTTCTCTCCTATGGAGAGGGGAGTTACCCATATCTATACAACTCTCCTCTCCGCACATCTCTTCATCGCTCCTGACTTCTCCCCTTTCCTCTCTGCATCCCTCCGCCACTCTTCTCACCATATCTCTACATTTCCCCCCCATCTTTCCATATTTCTCCTAATTGTCCCTCTCCTCTCCACAGCTCTCTTCTCCGCAGTCTCTTTATAGTTTTCCTCTCCATATCGGTCACATCTCTCTCTAGCCTCGATGTCTCTCTCTGTCTCCCCTCTCTCTACATCTCTCCCAGTCCTCTCTCTTCTCTCTACATTTCCCCTCTCCCACTTCACTGCTCTACACACGTCTTCACTTGCTACTCTCCACATCTCTCCTCTCTACGTGTCTCCACTCAGTACTCACGTCTTATCTCTTCCCTCAATGTCTCTCATCTCCTCTACAGTCTCTCCTCTTCATGGCACCTCTCCTATCCACACTTTCTTCACCATGTCTTTCCACATGTCACCCACACATCTCTCTCCACTGCACATCTCCCTACCCTCATTTCTCCTCCTTTTCTCTCCATATGTAGAAATCTAACCTCAACTATCATCTCTCCACATCACATATGTACACAACCTTCCTCTCCTCCCCGGTTCACCCCTTCTTTCCACGTCTCGCCACATCTCCTCTCTACTCAGCGCTTCCTTCTCTACAGCGCTCCTCTTGATATCACTCCAGTTATGGTATTTCTTTCATATAGCTCCATGTCTCTTCTCAGATCTCTGTCTCCTCATCTCTTCTCTCTGCGTGTCATATATTTCCTACATATTCCACTTCAAGCTACATCTTCCACATCCCATTTCTATATTTCTCTTCTCCCCGGCTCTCCATCTCTCCCCTACTCACTTCTGTATTTCCTGTCTTCTATCTTCTCACCCTCTTTCTCTCCACTTCTCCCTCTCTCCTGTCCTCTCTATCTCTCCTATGGTCTCCTCTATATTTCTCATTTCCTCACCTTCTATCTCTTCTGTCTATGTCTCCTGTGCTGTTATATCTCTCCACTCCTCTATATTTCTCCTTTACATCTTTCTCCTACACTATCTCTCTCCTCCTCCTCTCACCTGTATCTTCTCTACCTTCCACTTCACCTCTCCAATATTTTCTCCTCTCTCCACTATCTCTCATCTCTGTTGTCTCTAACGCTCCATTTTTTCTCTGTATCTTCCACTATATCAATGATCTCCTTTATATGTCCCCTATTGTCTTCTTCCTATCTTGTGTTGTCTTAGTATCTTCACCTTTCCTTTCTCTCCCCCCCATCTCCCTCAATTTCTCCTCCCCTATATATCTCTTGTCTACTCAATACCTCTCTTCTATTCTCTATAGCTTCTCTACATCTATATCTTGTTAAGTTTTATAACCCAGCTCCATGTTAAGTACAGTGACCTCAAGGTTTCTATTGCTACACATGTGGGAACTCAGGGTGTATCCATGAAAGGGTGTGTGACTACTCAGATATATGAATGTGGTCAATGGACAGGAATCCAGTTTTAAGTCCAGGAGCCTCTGGGGCACTTACCCAGGTCTTCATTTCCATTGCCTGGTGCAGGAGGATTGTGGTGAGGGAGATGGTGTTGATGGGTGTCCCAAAGGTGAAGACGTCTATGTCAGAATCCTTGTAGGTCTGCAGGGGAGGAACATACAGCACTGTCAGATGGGCTGTTTTTGACACTGATTAGAAAGCAGCAGTGGAGGCAGGTGTCAAGGGAGGACAAGGGATGGGGAGAGGAGAAGCTATCCAGCTGCCCTCCTTGTCAAACTGACCCAGGGAGCAGACAGGATGAGGAATGAGTTGACAGGGCTGAATCATTTAGAAACATGCTTATCAGAGGAAGCCATGATGGGTTTTCCAGAGCATTGTAGAATAAAGAATTGAGCACCCACCAGGGATGATGCCAATTGTTAAAGAAACATCTGTGTCCACATTAAAGGAGTTTAGGGCCTACTAGATAGGGCCATGTGGTGCAGCTTAAGAGGGGGAGAGTGTAACAGAGGCACTGGGAGTACAGAAGAGGAGGCAGATCAGTTGAGACCATAGAGGCATAAGTCTCCTGAAAACAGAAGGGAAAGGCAGAGTTGAGCATGGAAACCCCAAATGGTCCTGGATGGTAGGTCAGTTGAGAGAGAGCAGGAGCAAAAGATGCAAGAGATGAAGCCTGCCTGGGGGAGTCATTCTATGCTGAAAATGCATCCTTGACCCTCCCCATTGCAGAGGAATAGGAGCCCAGAGGCTGGGTGGACACACGGTTTACCTGGTAGCAATTATAGCTCATTCTGGTTCTCGGTCAAAGAGAACTACAAATCTTCTTTGTCATCTAAGTTCTCATTCTTTAAGCTGGAGAGCCAAAGAGAAGGGGCCAGTATCCCCTGCTATCGCATTTCTGCTTTTATTTCAGATAATATAATATCCATTATTATTAGAGCTTGCTGCCTTGACCTTGGGAAGCACAAATCGAAATAAATCAATGTTCATAAATTCAAATACCTTCAGTGGTCAAGTAGGAAACAATAAATAATTGAAGGTGGCCAGGAGAGAGTGGTGGGAACTATGGCAAACTGTGGGACATGTGTCCAATCTAAGTAGGGCTGTGAGTCAATGCTGGATTTTGGAGATAAAAAAATCCTGTTTAATAAAATATTTCATTTTTTTTCCAAAAACCAGCAGAAATAAAAATGTTGGGTAAAGCATTCTGACCTTTCAAATATCCTGGGTTGGATGTAGCCTGCAGGTCACCTGTTTGGAGCCTCATCTAGGATTTCATATAAACAGGACCAGTTCCTCCCTGTGATTTGTATGGCTAGAGTGGGATGTATACCACTTACCAGGTAAGGGATAAAGAAGCAGACGAGGCTCTGGTAGAAGGCATCTGCCATGGAAATCCAGAAAGTAAACAGGTTGTAGCACTGCCAAGGAAGAGCATAGCCACATTACCACTGTCAAAGCAGCCTTGATTCCATACACACAATGCATAGTGGGGCAGACGAGAGTGCTTACCATGCCTCTGAGCTTGAAGGTACTACAGAGATTCAAAGCATGGACTCAAGGGGACAGACCGTAGTCAAACTCCCAGCTCTGACACTAACTGTGTGACCTTGTGGATTTGTACCTGAGAATTGGTTCTTCTATAAAAAATGGATAAAAACACCACTAGCCAATTCCTTGAGTTTTAAGAGGCCAAAATGTGATTGTGCTTTGATTCCTAGCAAAAGCTCAGTTATTAATTATTCTCAGTCCTTAGCACTAAAGCTGCTGCTAATACGAACTTGGTGAGTTTTGAGATTGTAAGTGGCATGTGAAAGGGAGGACTCACTCATAGTCTAAGAGGGTCATTTTGGGTTTCACTCTTCATGCCTTCTCTGGAAAAGTGAAACCACCACAGCTTACATTTTGGTTACATTAACTTCTCTGAAGGTTAGATTCTCGGGCTCTGTCCTTTGGCCAACCTGCCTATGGAAGGTTGCCCTCATCTTGTCTCCCTTACCTGAGCTGCAGGGGTTGCTGGGTTGTCATCCACTGTCTGGGCTGAGGCTTGATTCTTTGTCACTGCACCTGGCTTTGCTCTTCTTGTCCCCAGGTGCAGAGATGCTTGTGGCCATTTCTGTGTCCCTTTCCCCGAACTCCCCTTTGAATGTTCAGGGGTTTGGTCTGACCCCCTGGCATGCCCACTGTGTGGCCTCTCTGCCTGATGGGAATACTTCCCCCATGGCTTCCTAGGCCTGCCTTGGTCTGCCCAAGATGAGAAAGTTCTAGACCTTGTGTAACCTTGAGTTCTAAATGTTGCCTTCTGACATGATGCAGAAGCATTGTTATGAATGTCCCACCAGGTGATGATAATCTAGCTTTTAGTCCCAGGGGTTCCCAAACTGAGACTTTTTGGGATTTTTGTTGATGCCTTAAGAGTGAGGCTGGCTAAGGGTTGTCCTCTCCCCACTCTCCTAGGTAGGGGCCCAGATGGATAGTGTGGCAAAATGATTAGAAGGTTAAATACCCACTGGTCTGGTCTATCACAACCAACAGACCAGGAACAGACAGAATTACTGGGCCACACAGGAGATAAACTGAGGATGCCCCTTCTGTGGCCCCTCAAACAGGAGATTCATATTCAAGCTAGCATTCTCAGCCCCTCTCACCTCGGAGTTCTGGCCGCTCTTGTACAGAGCAGGCACCGCCAGCAGCGTTTCTGCAGAGATGTCCTTATCAAGGATCCCAAAGAGAAGTGGCGGCAAGGAGGTGAAGAAGATATTGAAGAATATTATCTGCCAGTAGTCGATCATGGTGGAGCCGGAGAAGCCACAGAAGAACTGGTACCAGAAGAGCAGGTTGACGTAGCACTGTGGGCACGGAGCATGGCCTCGTGAGGAGACCTGTGGGTGCCTTAGGAGCGGTGATGAGCCACCTGCATTGAGCTGGAGCCCAGTTTCCTCCTTTGCAACACTCAGGCTCATTGTGAGGACTAGGGATAACTAATCCTAACAGGGCCGCTGCCGCATGCCCTGCAGCAAACTCTCCCAGCGGGGAAGGTAACAGAGCCAGGTGATTAGAGCATAGATTTTGGAGATGCCGTGGCCTAATTTCAAATCCCCAGTTTTGTCTTACTAGCTGTGTGACCTTGAGCAAATTTCTTAACCTTTCTGAGCATTTTGCCATCTTTGCATTGGAAAGATCAGTATCTTGCCCCCGGGACATGCTACATGACAGGCAGGAGCTATTAGTGGTGTATTAGTTCCATCTAGTAGTTATTATCATCAGCACCAGGCAGCTCCTGAGGGAGGATGATGGGACGATGGGCTCGTGGGCAGGAAGCCTGGTGGGACCCGGGCTTCAGGAGAAGGTTGCCCTCACCAGACTTTCCTTACATCATACAACTTGGAAGGCTGGATAAGGAAATTCCCTGCTGACCTGTTGCTTTGCTTTCTAGAGCTCTTTCCCAGTCTCCATATTCGCACCTGAGCAGACCCGGCCACAGGTGCTTTCTGCCCCCTGTGAAGTGCTTTGGAGACTTGGATGTGGTCATGGAGCTGCGAGTCCCACACCTTCTCAGGTCTGTGTGGTTGAGCGCCGAGGGGTAAGGGATGTTCTATGAAATCAAACAGGAGGTTTGTATTCAAGCTAGCATTCTCAGCCCCTAATTCTAACCCCCAATTTTGTCATTCCCTGCTGTGCACTATGCCTTATAGCAGATCAGCATGGTAGGATATACCACATTATTAGATGTGTCCTGTACATGGCAGTTGAACTAACAACTGTGCATAAGGAATATGAATGCTAATACTATATTAATATAATGTATCGCCTATTGCTAACGTTGTCCTCTACAGGCAAGTGATCTGGCTGCACACACACCAGCGGTGCTAAAGGGCTTTGCAGACGCCCTAGCTAAAGCAAGAAAGTGCCATGTGCGTGTATATCACTGGCCTAGTCTCTACGGAGATGTCCTTACTGAACTCTAATTTAATACTGGTTTTTACTAAGGGTTGTGAAGGAAGAAACAGGGTGGCCATATGGAGGTTCATTTTCACTTTCTATAAAAATGCCACTAATGCAAAAATGCAGGTGGCATTTTTATAGAAGTTTTTGAGAAGTTCCTGAAGATTTTTGTGTGACCTTTCTCTAGAGGTTTGTCTGACAAGGTGATCTCTGAATTTGGAGGAGAGCTCAAGGCTGGGCTGCTTGTTTTAGCCAGACCACTCCGACCCAGCGCCTGTGCGATCACCTGCTCCCTTCTCCGTGGCCTTGGGGTTTTTACTGTAAGTCACTTGCACTTCCTTGTGGAATCTCTGCTGTAAAATTAAACTGCTGGAACTACTTCCTATCTGGACTGAGGTTGCCAGCCTCTTCCTTCTCAGCAGGACAAGTGGTTCCCTCACATTTACCCTTTGTGAGGTCACAGCTGCAGTGTTGCTTCCTTCCTGGCTGATTAGGTGGAGTTTCCAGGCCTTCTATCCACAGCACCCTCACCTCCCGCTAGGAATATGCACCAGAAATGTTTACATTCTGACTCCCTTCTCCCTAACCTAGTCATTCTTTAAGATTCAGAGGAATCACCTGGCTTGGGGTGTGGCCTCAGGATCTGCATTTCCAATGAGCCCCTAGATGATTCTGACACTGTTGGTCCGAACCACAGCCTGAGAAGTCACAGGAGGTGACAACCTGTACAAAGCTCTACTGGACAAGGCCACCTCGGTTTATTTGCATACTGTCATAGCAATGGTGTCATGGTACTATTTCCATGATTCCAGTCCTGTGTATACAGTCTCAGACCACTTGCCTATAGAGGACAACATTATCAATAGTAGCTAGGACAGCAGAGTTGACTAGTACTAAAGCATTACCTCTTCTTTTGCAGACCAGCCTTGCCGAGTGAGCTCTGATGGAGACTGGACACCTCTTCAGGGTAGGGGCCACATCTGTCTAGATCCTGCTCTTTACCCACTGTCACATGTGGGAGTGGTTAATGATTTGAATAAACAGAGTAAATCGCAGTACTGTTGTCCTAACACTCACCCTGCAAGAGTTTCCTTACTCCCCAGTCCCCTTCCCTGCTGCAAGCTCGGTGGCTGGGGGCAGCACAGGGAACCCGGACAGCATCGCCAAGATGGGGCGCCTGCGCTTCCTCCTGAGCAGCTACAGTGCAGTAATTAATTCATTGTTCAAATTTCAGAGCAGGCTGGGTTTTAATCCCCTCTGAAATTGGTTTCGGATGTGGAAGTCGTCTGTGCTCCACCCTCTAATTGCAATGGGGAGATAATGTGGCATCTGTATTGCCATTGAGAGTACTGCATTGGGACTGGAAATAAATATCATTTAAGCTTTGAAAGCAGGGCTGGCTGGAAACATTTCCTTTTCTATTTTGCAAATTTAATGCAGAGAAGAGGTTCTGCTCATTCAAAAGAACCATTCCTTTGGAGGCCAAAAGAAAAAAAAAATGAAGCGGGGCATTTTAAATTCTAAGTAAATAGCCTTTCATGCTCTGAGTGACTTTCAAGTCAAATCAAGTGACTTGTTTGCATAGACTTGCTGGATTAATCTTACCATCCAGTTTATCGCATTTACATGATTTTTGGTCCTGCTGTTTATTTACATACGCATTGAACTTTGCACAGAAAGGCTCATTCCTGAGCAAGGTTCTGACTGTGACCATTGCCTGAAAGCAGGACTGGGGCACCAGAGTGAGTTGGAAAAAATAAAAATGCAATTTTCTAACTGCTACTTGCCTACTGTGTTTCTTTTCCATCAGCCTGGTCTGCATCCTCCCATTTTCCTCATGCAAACAGGAATTGGATTCTATTTGGAGATGCTTGAGGATTACTCAAAGGTCCTTCAACTAGATAACGAAAAATTTAGACCTTTGTTAGTTCCCTTGGTTCAGGGAAGGTGTGACTTCTTCCTCTACCCACTGTTATTAAGGGCTTTTCAGACATGCACCTCTGACTGTTTAAATGTCTCAATTGGTGTGTGTCTGCTTTGGGTCCTTATCAACAAAATAGAAATGAATATATTTCTTAGGGAGTACAATAATGCCTTCAGGATTGCTTGGATGTGTATAGTGCTTTCCAGAGCTCTGACAAAGCTCTTGGTAATACTTCAAGAATCACAGTCATGTTCTTCCCACATTATTGATGAAGAAACAGGCTCAGAGAGGTTAAGTGATTTCTCTAAGACCACACAGCATGCTCTCTGGACTTCCTGCAGGGAAGTGGTATGTAGGAGCTCAGGCAGAAGCCAGGGACTCCAGTCCCAAGGAGTGGGGGTGCAGCTCTTGCAGGGGGTGAGTATCTGGGAGGAAATCTAAGATACAAGGCAAGCTAGTTCTTCAAGTGCTCCATCCATGCAGTCAAAATAATCAGCTCATTTATGGTGTCCCTCTCAGAAACAGCAGCGGCAATGATACAAACTATAGAGCTAACTCTGCGGGGTGATTACTCTGTGCAAGTCACTTCATGCACAAGACATCTTCTAATCCGCAGCAAACAAGTGAAAAAGGAACTACTGTTCCACCCATTTTACAGATGGTGAAACTGAGGTCATGATCAACTATGTCTAACTCCTCTGTGCCAGTGTCTTTCCACATACCATGGCGAGTCCTCGCCCTCACCGCACAATATAAGTAGCTCCATTTTAGCAAAGAAGAAATCGACCAGAGACGTGCATTGTCTTGCCCAGCATCACTTTCCCTGCCCTCCTGCTGACATGCTTTCTCTACCACCACTGGAGAGCTGGTCCCCACAGGAGTCCTGGGCTGCTGGGAGGTGACCGGAGGGCTACTCACCACATTCTTGTACAAGTAGTACACCACCATCCTGGCCAGGCGTGAGTAACACCAGTGGCCATGCACGAGCAGTAGCTTCTTGAGGTGTCGGAAGCGGGAGATGGCAAAGTCACTGGACATGACGGCCTGAGGGGAAGAGCAGAGACGTCAGCTCCCACGCACAACCACCAAAGAACCAGCAAGGCTCCCTGGAGGAGGCTCCATTTTAGGTACCAACAGGCAGGGGCTGAAAGACTATCCCCAGAATAATGTGTCACCCTGCGGTGGCCCTTTGGCCTCTCATAGCCTACACTCCCTTCCAGGAAACCCAAACCTCACTAGAATTCAATAAGGGCAGATTGGATGGTTTCAATGGAAGTGACTCTTTTCTGGCTTGAACTTCCATCTCATTCCATTTACCCAAAAGCTGTTCTCATAGTCCTTTATGTGTGGAAGCAAAGGCCAGCCAGAGAGGAGGGGCCCCCAGGCTAGCAATTCTAACCCTTGGAACACGCCATGCCACCCCACCAGGCACATCCATCCCACATTCAGGTGGGGCTGCTGATTGGCTAGTTCTTCCTTCACACGGAGCTGAAATGTGTCCTCTGCCCTCGGGGTGACGTGGAACCAGACACAGCTCCTTGTACTCTTTCAAGTGTGTGAGGTGTGGATGTGTCAGATCATAAATCCTGGTATGAGTCTTGGCCAGGTGATTTCCCCACTCTCAGCCTCCACTTCCTCACCTGAGGCTCATGGCAACTCTTCACGTTAGCGGGGATGAGACATATGAAGTGCCTGAGAGACGTGACCTGTCCTCAAAATGTAACATTTGGAACTACTTTGGACTTCGAGTTCCTTCGTCCTCATCACCAGCTGTAGGCCCAGTCTGGCCTCTGCATGGGTGGTGGGGTACAGTGGCTCAAGGTTCAAAACCACAAGGTAGAGTCTGCTTTTAATGGGACATGTTCACAGCGCAGGTGAGGATGCTTGTTCCAGTCAAGCTGTATCTTGATGAAATTAAGTAGCCCTATTAGAATGTACCAAGCAATGAAGTGGGTCAAGCTAACCATCGAGGCTAAAATGGCAATTAAAAAATGTTTCCAAGTGCGTGTATAACTTGTCATTGCTCAGGGAGAGTGTGGCGACCTTGGAGGTGGGTGGAGGTCCCAGGGAGGGGCAGGCATCAGAGGCAGGCTCAGGATCCCCAATTATTGGTACCATTTGGCTTTAGAATACAGGTTTCCCAGCTGCCTGTAAAAGGCCCTGCATTCTTTGACCGCCCTCTGTGTCTGGAGAATGGGCAGGGGGGGTGGGGAGCAGAGGTTATGCATAGCAGGAAAGTCCCCTTTCCAGAGGAGAATTCTGCAACGCTCTCGGAGGAGTTTCTCTTACACTGTGGGGACTCCGTCCCTTTCTACAAAGGGCCAAGGGGCGGAAGGAAGAAACAAGAAATGTTGACAGGAACCATACCTGCATGCCTTCCTGTCCCGCTATTCCAATCCCAACATCGGCAGCCTGAATCATGCTGACGTCATTTGCTCCATCACCTGAAGAAGAGAGGGCAGAGGTGTCTTTACTCCTGGTCCAGCTGCTGCATCACAGCCACTGAGGGGTGTCATCCCAGTGGCTGTAAATCATCCCCATTTAGACATAATTGAATCTGTTAATGCTGCTCTGAAGAGTCGTAGATGCTGCCACCGTATTTGGCCTGAGGATTGCGTTTTCTTCTTTGGACTAAAAGCCCTCCCTACTTTTTATTATTTGACAGATATTAAGTGTCTTTTTTTTTTTTTTTCTAGTCACAACACAAAGCACAACGCAGTGGTAGGTGAGAGACATGGCAGCGCTTTATCGTTCACAGAGACCACCTTGGCAAGTCTCCCCACGAACTTTAATAACAATGAGCAAATGGAATATTTGAGCAAGGGAGGGACTCTGCAGGGATGAGGCAGCTAGTGATGGGGTCCAGGAGAACTGGAACTCAGATCATTCTGATTCAGGAGGCTATGTGGACACAACTGCACCGTTTGGACAGTCAGTTCATCAGATTGTCAACACTGTCCAGGAGAGGGGGTAGTTTCTTTCTGAATGTAGGAACATGAGCTTGACTAATGTTTATGGTGGAGCGACACTTAGTCATATGGAATTCCCATTCAGTGAGCTGAGTTGACTCAGGAAATGGGAGGTGAGCGTGTGGAGAAACACATATCGCCCTCCTTCTAAACCAGCAGTGGCAGACATCTTTCTGTGATGGTGGAAGTGTTTTCTGTTGGTATTGCTAACCTATGGCTATTGAAAGGTGACTGTGAAATCCTGTTTCATTGTAGTGAATTTTAAGTATAAACCGGCACCAGTGTGGGCGGGTACACACAGGGCCATACAATTCACCACAATGGGGCCTTCTGCCAGGCTTGGCTTTTCTCCACAAGCCCGGCTCTTCCCAATGCTTCATTTTTTCAAAGCAGGGTTTAGCAAATTCTTTTTGTAAGGGGCTGGATAGTAAATATTTTAGGTTTTGTGGTCCAAAAAGCAAAACTGAACAACTGTTCTTACTGAGAGGCAAGTAGTCTTTTTTTATTTAGAAATGTCAAATCATTCTTAGCATCCCTACAAAAATATTCAGAGGGCTAGAGTCAGCCTACAGCCACGTTTGCAAACTGCACAGCCTTTAATTTCTCCTAGGCCTCACCTTTTTTTCATCATCTTTTGCTGTTAATTTTACATGGCATCATTGAGAATTTGGATTTGGGGACAGAATTTTCTTCCCCTAATTGTTTGGCAACAAAGCTTATAGATCTTAAAAATATTGTCATGACAGACACATGTAAAAAAATGAAACTAGACTACCATCTCACACCATATATGAAAATCAACTCAAAATGGATAAAAGATGTGAATGTAAGATCTGATACCATAAAATATATAGAAGAAAACAAACAGAGCACTTCATGACATACACTTCAGAAATATCTTTGCAGATTCGTCCCCAGCAGCAAGGAAAATAAAGGAGAATATAAACAACCTAAGACTACATCAAACTGAGAAGATTCTGCACAGCAACAGAGTAACCAAAATGAAGAGCCATCTACTGAATAGGAGAAAATATTTGCACACCATATATCTAACAAGGGACTGATATTGAAGATCTACAAAGAGCTCATACAACTCAACAAAAAGAACAAAGAACCCAATCAAAAATGGGCAGAAGAGCTAAATAGGCACTAATTCCAAGAAGACATGCAGACGGCAAACAGGCACATGAAAAAATGTTCATCGTCTGTTATCATCAGGGACATGCAAATCAGAACCACAATGAATTGCCACCTCACACCTGTGAGAATGGCCCATATTTAAAACAAAGCAGAAATAAGTGCTGGTGAGAATATGGAGAAAAAGGAAGCCCCTTACACTGTTGGTGGGAATGGAGACTGGTCCAGTCCCTATAAAAAGCTGTGTGAAGGTTCCTCAAAGACTAAAAATGGACCTACCATCTGATACAGCAAGTCCACTCCTAGGTATCTACCCAAAGAACACAAAACACTAATTTGTAAGGAAACTTGTACTGCTATGATTATTGCAGCACCATTTACAATAGCCAAGATATAGAAACAACATAAATGCCCCCAAACAGATGAGTGGATCAAGAAGATGTGGTATGCAGATTCAATGGAATATTACTCAGCAATCAAAAAGGAAACTCATGCCATTTGAAGCAACATGGATAGAGCTGGAATAGATTATACTAACTGAAATAAGCCATAAGGAGAAAGATAAGTGCCAGATGGTGTCCCATGTATTTAGAAGTGAGCATACACATTAAACGGGGACAGTTCCAACTTTTAAAATTTCTCCATCGGCCATCCACACTCAGCAGAATATCGAATCCACCAATAGTGGAGGTGTGTAGCTGTGTCCCTGTGGTAAGGATTGACGGGGAAATGGTCTGGCCCCAGCCCTGAATTGGCCCAAGTGTCTATTGCTGAGTGACCTGGATGTTTTCAACTCAAGACCCAGTTGACTTTGACCTATACTGAGGCTTGAGATACCCTATCTGACCTGCTACCTGAGATCTTGGATCCACTCTCCCACTCCACTCATCTCTGGCCAACCACATCTTGCTTGTCACATTGAACTCACCCCATTTAAGACAATGACCCTCAGCCTGAGCCTGCTGACGTGGACTCCTGGCCCCCACCTCCTGCCCTGGCCAGCTGCCACACGCCCCCTCAGGACTGGTACCTATGGCGAGGGTCAGGACCCCCAGCTTGTCTCGCACCAGCTTGACAATCATGCTCTTCTGGAGTGGGGTGCAACGGCAGCACAGGACAGACCGGCAGAACTGAGTTAGCTCCAGAAACTTCTTCTCCAGCTTTCCCTGGAAAATGGCATTCAATGTCTTTCCATCGATGACCAGGCCAATTTCTGGAACTACAGCTCCCAAGGCAGGGGGCGGCGTTGTCTCTGGAGGCAGGCGGAACCCGAAGAACTGGCGGGCTGGCTTCCGTGGTCCGTAAAATTGCTTCACCTCTTCCAATGTATAATCGAGGATGGATTCACAGGTTTCCTGTAAAGAGTCAGAATCACACAGTATTGGTCAGCTGTTGTGGAAACCTATGTTAAAAACCCTACTTTAGTGCCTCCCTGGTGGTGGAAGGAGTTAAGCACAGCACTATGAGGCTATCTGCAGCCACTGCAGCACAAGTTCGATCCCTGGCCAGGGAGCTACCCACATGGTGCAGCAGACCTCTCCTGACTCGCCCACTGCTCCCCTCAGCAGTGTATTTCAGTCAGTCTGCCGGTTACGGTCCCCACTCTGTCTCTGGTGAATCCTCTCACCCCCTGTACCTCTGGTCTGTATCCCAGTTCTTGTATGCATAAATAAATCAATCTTTAAAAACAAACAAAAAAACCCTACTTTATCCTTTAGTGAAATAGTTGTAAAACTACCACCATAGAAATGACCTAGGACTTTTTCTTTACATTGCTTTGACATATTTCAAACAGCATCAAAGCAATGTTAATTTGGGAGTGGAGCCAGCAGGACAGGGGCTGATGTGGGTGACACAAGACTAAGCATGGTATCCGGGTCGGTACAAACAATGGCACACGCCATGCTCTATGGTGCTACCTATTATTTACAAGTCATGTTGATTCCCCCGTGTTGCTCAGAAAATTCCAGTGCGGTATGTGGGGGAGGAGAAGGGTATTGCTGACTTTACTTATTATTTTTAAATATTTTTTAGAAGTGGGGTACAAGCCAGAGTCATGGGAGCGGGGTGAGAAGATTTACCAGAAAGAGTGGGAGCAGAACAGGCAGATCTACTGAAACACACTGCTGAGGGGAGCAGTGAGCGAGACAGGAGAGGTCTGCTGTGCCATGTGCGTTGCTCCCCAGCTGGCTGGGGATTGAACTTATGCTGCAAAGGCCGCGGACAGCTTCACAGCACTGCACTCAACCCCCTGTGCTCAACCCCCTGTGCCACCAGGGAGGCCCTATTGCTAACTTTAGCTTAGAGACAAAGAAGTGGAAGCAGTGATATCTTTGGTAAACTGCCCAGGGCCATGTGATTTGGTAGTAGACATAGCTATTGACTACCTGACCTGTAGCTTCCAGATTAAACAAGTACATTGGCTGCGCATTTATCACCTGGCCTGAATATAGCAGTTGTACCAGTACAAAGTGACCACAGATGTGAAAGTCTCACTGATGTCAAGAAACTTACTGATTTTTTTTCTGGCATTTTTCTTGAAACAGATAAATCTGCTGAGCAGGACATCACAGAAACCCTAGCAAAGCTTCTGTGCTCCCAGAGAAAAGGGAGGTCGTACTGGACTGGAGCAGAGTTATATAGGAGGAGGCAGCTTCTGCCAAGCCCAGAGTGAGAGAAGACAAGGCTTGTGCGGAATGGTAAGCAGCTTGTTGATTCATCAGCCAAAGTTCCTCAGGAGCAGGCCATACTCCATGTGAAGAGCAGTCACTTTCAACTCTGTAAAGCTGTCTAGGACCCTCCAAAATGCTACCAGACCCACTTAACCTGTAAGATTTGTTTTTCTTATTCCTTTGTCTGGGGAAAAGTGGTGGGTGCTTAGAGATATTAGGCCAGAGACTGGGGAAGGAGTTATTTCCTGTTATCAATTCTCCTGTTGCTTTTGATGATGTGATATATCTCAATTTTTTTAAAAAAAATATTTATGTATTTATGCATACAAGAACTGGGGTACAGGCCAGAGGTGTGGGCAGTGAGAGGATTCACCAGAGACAGAGTGGGGAACAGAACAGGCAGAGTAACTGAAATACACTACTGAGGGGAATAATGGGTGAGACAGGAGAGGTCTGCAGCGCCATGTGTGTAGCTCCCTGGCCAGGGATCGAACTTGCACTGCAGTGGCTGTGGATAGCTTCATAGGTTGCGTCTTAACCCTTTGTGCCACCAGGGAGGCCCCATATCTCAAATTCTTATTTTGCTTCTTGCAAACACTTTCAATAGGGAAAAGTTGCAGTGGTCAACTGTATTAACAATTTTAATGCTATTTGGTTCACATGGTCTGTACTGAACAGTGTTCTTTTATCCAAGTAAGGGCTGATGATTTCTTGGTAGTGCTAAACATTTCTCCTCTAAAGAAATTTTAAAATGTTCAAAGTGGGCTGATGTAAATGAAACCCTTAAATAACCAACTATGTGGATTTTGGCTCAGTGATGTGAAGGTTGTTCTGAAATGATGGGTTTGGGAATAATCATTGATCTGTTTCTGAAAATGTGTGCAATCATTTCTGTTGGAGAGAGTAACATGTCGTTCATTATTGCTGAGTCCTTTTTAGGGGATCCCAAGCTGAGGGTGGCAGGCAGTAGTGTGTGCACAGTCCCCAGAGGGGCAGTGGGTTCTAGAAGCAGGGGCGATACCCCAGACACTTAACTGGGAAAGAGATCCAGATGGTCCTTGCTGGTGGTTGGGGTCGAGAAGTTATATCAATTCCTCCAACCTGTGACAGCAGCAAATCACTGCAGATATAAGCTGCCAAATGAAATCTCTGCTTTTACTTATTTTAAATTTCCTATGGAATAATCACCAAAGTTACCGCTCACATAATGGGGTATGTCAGGGACTGTCCTAGGCAGCTTCTCTCATGGTTCTCAGTGCACCCCGCCTCCACCATGTTAGTCATACCCTTGTGTGATTTCCTCCCCGAGTGAAGGCTTGCTCTAGTCATGTCTGATCAAGAGAATTCTACAAAAGGGATGGGTCTATATTAGTCTATAAAAGACTGGCTTCTGCTGGGCACTCTCACTTGCTTTCTCTTAGGTCTGTCCTAGCCTTAGAAGGAGACTAGCCATCATGTTGTGAACAGCTCCGTGAAGAGGCTGCTAGGCAAAGAACTGCAACAACCATGTCCCCGAGCTTGGCAGAAGGACCTCTGTCCATTCCCCAGAGACCTGCCCAGTGGAGGCTGCAGATGAGCCCACAGTCTTGATACTTGGCTTGACTACAGCCAGAGGGACGCTGCTCAGTGCTCCTGAACCCCTTACACCTGGAAACTGGAATCATAAACACTTGTGTTTTCAGCTGCTAAGTTTTGGGGATTCTATAATGACAATGCTATGTAAATATTTTTCTTCATGCTCTTACTGACTCTTCCCAATAGCCTCTTAAATAAATCTTCTGAATCCCTGTTTTAATGATGAAGTTCAGAGGTATGATATCTGGATCATACTAAGCCTTTAATATATTGTTAATAATTACAATTTTATTTGCTATTAGAAGTTCCTCCCTAATACTATAATTCTCTTCTTATGAATGAGAACCCTGAGGTCTAGATCAGTCTCATAAGTTGCTTGTAGTTTTAAAATATGCAACAATAGACTGAGGAAGGAAGCAGGATGGAGCCAGGAGACCTGGAGGAGGCGCATGGAGCCTAGAGACACATTTAAAAAGTAATAACTCAAGAATTTCATAATACATTGGAATAGTTAAACAACTGTCAATGAGCTTCCTGTGATATGTTCTCTGTATTTTCTTTCCTTGCTGGATCCCCTATGAGACGATATAAAATCTATTACAAGTCACTTGGAACTTGTTGAGATTTGATATTTCACAGGAAGGCAGGAGAATGAGTTGAACAAATGATGACATTTGTTTGCAACTTCCAGTGTTGCCTATAAAGAACACCAGTTATTCGAAGAGGGCGGAGCAACATGGCGGCGAGGAGACGCTGCGAGTAAGATCTCCCATTAAAAAAAGTGAATAGGGAGGAAAAGCGGCAGGTCCCAGTGAGAACTGGGACACGGAAGATAAACGGACGACTCCAGCAAACTGCCCGAAGAAGAAAGTTGCCATAAAAGAGGACGAGAAGGGAGGGAAGCGCAGAACCCTGCTCCCCTCCCCCGCCCACAAAGTCGGCACTCTCCGACCGGCAGAGAGGAGGAAACAACAAACCAAAACGGCCAACAAGAAAAACGGACACAGCAAGCGGGACTGTGAGTGGAAAGGAACTATTTCAGCCACCACACCCCGTGAATGGGAGCTGAGGCGAACCCTGCAGGATCCGCCGCGGAGGTGAGCTCCAGACGCCATTAAAGAGAGCCCCGCCCCCCAGGAGGAGACCAGCACCAGCACACAGCCCCGGCCGCCCGGTAAGCTTGCGCGGAAAGTGGCGCGGATCCAGACCGGATCGCAGCTGCCCAGGTCCCCGCGCCTGCGACCTAGGCTTGCGGGGAGACGGCGGAGGCCCTCCCTGACTGAGCAGGAACAAGGCGCCCAGGCAGGGGAGCGGGATTCAAAAGGCGCCATTCCCGCGCCACTGATCTGGGCTACAGCCCGCGTCCTGGAACTGAGGGCTTTGGAGCTGAGACCCGGGGTACGAAATTAGGGGCGTGGGTTCCCCACGACGGTGGGGCACAAGGAAGACACAGCACCCCAAAGCCGTTGAGGTGTACCCTACCATCCCCGCTCTGCTCCCTGTCCCACGGGGTGGAAAATCAGCTCCCCAAGGGCTCTAGGAGAGATCTCTGGCGCCACCTAGCGACTTGACCCCAGCACAGGCTACTGAAGGAGCTAGTGGCCAGCTGGGGAGTTAGCCCACACCTGGCTCCTTCCGAACAAGTAGTCTGAGCCCACAGGGAGAGCAAGCACCCACAGCCGGGGCAGACCAGGCGCGCAGAAGAGTGTGCCTGAGACCAGACGCGCAGGGAGTGTGTCCCACATCACCATTTTAGAACAGGGACATTTCCTCAGTAAAGACTACCTGCAGAAGGCTTCCTCAGGAGCCAGAGGTGAGCGGGGGAAGTTCGCCCACGCCAGACCCCCTCTGGCCTGCAGTCCAAGCCCAGAGGGGAGCAGGAACCCACCGCCGGGGCAGACCAGGCGCACAGGGGAGTGTGTCCCCACATCGGCATTTTAGAACAGGGACCTTTCTCCATTAAAGGCTGCTTGAAACTGACAGATGACTCCTGGAAGAACCAGAGGGGAACAGAGAAGCCCACCCAAGATGCCGGCCAGTCCCAACAACACAGTGTCCCAACGCATACGGCAAATTAGAAAACAGACAGTAGGGAGGAGAAGAACCAC